TAACCTCCGGTCTCCACAGTCAAAGGCGGATGCACCTGCACACATATACACACAGGCATCACACACACAGGCATCACACACACACACACACACACACACGGCCATCCTCAGCTACATAGCAAGTTGTTCAAGGCTAACTTGGTCCTCATGAGTGGAATATTTATAACATATATTAGCTCTAATTTTGATTAATTGTGAACGTTCCTTACAGTAAGACACATTCTAAGTTAAAGTTTGAGGAATCCTGGGGTTATAGGACATGCAAGGCAGCACCTCTATACTTTCATATACATATTGCTTGAGGAGAGATTCCCTTCTGACCTTTCAATCACATCGGAGCTTCGGTAAGGGCTCTCAGTATGGCACCGGGAAACAGCACGGGATGTTCGAGCCTGGTAACCAAAGCCACACTCCCACCTTCTGAGGCTTTCCTTCTCACTGTCAACAGCCCACTGTACCACTGTTAACAGCGCCGACCTCTACCGACACCATCTGAGTAACTTGACTTCTTCCAAATTCACACAGCAGGCAAATATCTGAAGCAAGAGCAGGTGGTGCACGGGGAGGACCCCCACAACTGCTGAGCCAAACAAGAGAAGCAAGCTGGGTGTTGCAGATGAAAGCGAGGCACACAGGAATGAGTCTGCCACGACAAGAAGCCCCTCTCCTCTCAAGCACAAGGGAAAGGACTGCCGCCCCGCACAATAGATTTCTTTTGAAGACGCTGAACTTGGTTCGGCTATTATTTTACTCGTTATCGTGTAAAGTTTGGCAAAACTTTTGCATATATTTCAAGTTACTGAAATTTTTTTATTGCCCCCATCTATTTTCAAGGAGCACTTAGCTATCTAAAAACAAATGGGCCCTTTCTGAATATATTTAAATATCATTAAGGAGGTACGGCGGCTGCACATACTATTACTGAGACTTCGTGTAAACAAATTATTCATTGCGCTGCTTTGGCAAGACCTTGGGGCCCTGACGTCTAATTTTTTAACACTAATGATTTTTTAGAAATTCCTCGGGACACGGAAAAACACAGCACCTGGCAGCCGGCCTCCAAATCTCATAGAGCTCCAGGTCTACCCTTTCGGTCCCGCCCGGAGCAGACCTGTTGCCTGCGCGCCGCTGTTTCTACTACCCAGCCTCATGCTTAAAGCATCGGCGGTAACAGGTGGATTCCGGACTGCGGGGACTCCCGCTCCCCTGCCCGGCGCTGGCGGAGGTGCTGAGCCAGCCGGCTGCTGCTTCCCTGGTCTAACCTCCCACCCTGCTGCGTGTTTCCGTTCTTTGCTTCCTGTGTGCAATCTAAGTCAGATTCTGCTCCCATCCACTGTGCCTGGAAAGGTCCCTGGAGCAGGTCCGTTTCTCCCTTTCCGTAGCTCACTGACCCAGACTCTGTCACTGCTCACCACAGTCCAGCCGACGTACTTCTACGCGTCCATTCTAATAGCCGCTCCCCAGTCCCCGCACTACCAGGTTTACTACAGTGACTATTTTTACAGTTCATACCTCAGCCCGTTGGTAGAAGGTCCTTTCCAGGATCTGTGCCCGCAGCCTGGATCCCTCTGGACTCGGACTCACTGCCCCATCCTCCGCCCGGCCCTGGCCATTACTTGGAGAGGATGGACTGGGCACCGGAGATGCGCGGTGACGCTGGTGCGAGCTTACCAGGATCGCGTTCGAACCAGGATTCTCGCCTGGATCGCGCTCGGATCCCAGAGGATGCGTACCTGTTTTGCATCCGGACCCGTATTCGGGGCCCCCACGATTGCACTAGGACCCGGACTTGAGCTCCCTGGATTGCACCTAGACTCACCTCCTGGGCCCGCCCGATAGAAGGCTTTGCTTTGCTCGCCAGCAAAGAAGTCCGGGGCTGGGCGGTCCGCAGGGCGACCCGACCAAGTTATTCCTCTCATTTCGTTTAAGGAGAGCAGCCGAGAGCCTGTGCACTGACCTGGCGGGGCCTGGGCGGTCCGAGAGACTCCTCCAGGCCAGTTTACCCGCCCATAGACCAGGGTCTCCCGGGTGCTCTCCGTTGCTTCTCTTTAGTGAGAGAATTTGCGCCGCGCGGAGATCCACGCGAATTAAAACTACTTTTCCCTCTGCTGGTGACTGACGGGAACTGCATGGCAAATGAAGCGGACGTTTTTGCTTCTCCGCTGACGGTTCAGCTTAGGATCTTCCCTCCAAGATAGGTTTTGGACCCGCGCACTTCCTTTAAGCAGTTAATTTTATTGTACTGTGTTTCGTTTTATATGCCATATTAAAACAAAGCAACTCGTTTTAGGCTTTAGAGTCATTTCTCCACCTTATTTTATGTTAAATTTTTTTTTTTTCTTTTTCTTTCTTTTTTTCTTTTTTTTTTTTAATGTAGGAGAGTTTTGCCTACATGGTTGTCTGTGCATTATACGCATGCGTGGTACCCAAAGCGTCCAAAAGAGGGCATCAGATCCCCTGGACCTGAAGTAACAGATGGTTGTGAACTGTTGGTCTACAAAGCCAGTTCCAGAACTTCCCGGGCTACACAGAGAAACCCTGGGGGGGGGGGG